GAGGCGCCCCCTCCCCAGTATTTTAGAAATTTGGTTGCCAACGATTTTAAATTGAGAGATACTGCATTAAAACCTAGATGTCCAGCTTCTCTTGAAAGAGACAACACTTGTAACCCTGGGCCCTCATTTCCACAGGGCAGGGCTGGGCCAGGGTGGGGACTGTGGCTCTCGGTTCACCCCAGTCCTCCTCACCCCCAGTACGCCCCACGCTGTCGCCTTTCCCGGGGCCTTGTACCATTCTCTATCCGATAGCATTAAGAGGTATTAATGGAGTATTTCTTTAGCCATGGCTGTCTCAACAGTGGCGACAGGACAGGCCGGGGGCTGCCGTGCGGCTCTGCTCACTCGGCCACTCGGCAGAGAGGTTGGGTCTGCTGCGGTCAAGCAGTGGGTCCGGAGTACCAATGGAGGGGTGCGGGCTGTCCCAGGCTCCACGTCCAGCACCAGGAAGGACCCAAGACAGCCGGGCCTCGAGTGCTCCCTGCTGTGGGTCGAGTGGAGGTGCCTCCCCCTCCCAAGGGGTCAGCCCATTGCCGGGGGCCCAGACCGCTGAGAGCCCAGTGCCAAGTCACCGGGGCAGACTCGAAACTGAACCCCACGGCCTTTGGACTGGAGCCACCTACCTGAGCCAGCAGCCGGAGGTCCCGCGGACCTGGGTGCCAGTCTCTCTGCTGGGGCGGGGGACGGCGAGTGGAAGACCGCGCCTCCGATGGGAGCAGCCGTGGCCCTGGAGGGCGGGCTGCGCAGCCCCTGCCGAAGCGGACACGTCTTCCTCTGAGTCGGCAGGAAAGCCACTCACTTAAAAAGCAGCAAGTTGGAGGCGAGCCCACAGCCTTGCTGGCTCACAAAAGCAGCTGGGCAAACAACAACCATCGGTCAATCGGGGAGACCACCAGCAGGAGAGGGCCTTTGTAAGGACAGGGAGAAAGGCAGCGGGAGACACCGCAGGATGAGGGGTGAGGGGGCCAGGGGACGCAGGGCAGGGGAAAGAAGATCAAGCCAGGCTGAGCCTCAGGCCCCCTCACCTCTTGGTTGCATTTGGTAAAAGCCTCCGGCTTGTTCTTCCCTGTAGTCCCCACTTAATCCCTGGAGGAGCCCAGGGCGCGCAGGG